TTGGCACATCGGAGGAACTCCATGCGCTGCAGCTGCAGAAGCACTTTGATTGGCTGTCCTTCTGGACCGTCTTCGTCGACGCAAATATCGCGCGTTTCCTCGGCAAGCTGCCCAAGGATCTACGCTACCGGCAGACCATGGACGTAAAAGCCCGCATGGTTGACTACGCCCGCCAGACCGAAGCGTATAGGCGCGGCGAGCAGGCCGAGGTGGGGCTGCGGCGTACAGGGCTCTGGCTGGCCTTCGGGGGCCAGGGCTTTTACGTCGATCCCGCCGACGCCGACAAGGCGGAGCTCGACCTCGTCAAAAAGGCCCCGCTCACGCGCAAGGACCGCGCGGGGTTCCTCCTGCGCCGGGGCTCCCTTGCCGATATCACGAGCACCGCGTACGTCGTCGTCCAGTCCAACAAGGCATTCGTCGACGCATACACCATCTTGCACTCCTGCGTCACCGCGTCCCCGCCTGCGATCCAATACCTCGTCGCGCGTATGTTCGAGCTCGGCGTCGCGACGCATGCGGCAGGAGACTTCAAAGATGTTGTGCCCACCCTCCATAGCGACGTGCTCCTCGCGCCCAACCTCCTCGATCGCAGTAATGACGCCGTGTTCATGTCGTTGGGAAACACGGTGAAGGAGGTTGTGCAGGGTCAGCCCGAGTATGCCAAGGGGCGGTTTCTCCGCACGCCCGATGGGGAGCTTGTACATGCCATCGATATGGGTATGGGCGGCAAGGGGACGCACGTGGCGCGTTTGGCGGGCTCGGGTGAAGAATCGATCATCGGGATGCGGTGGCCTGACACCAACTTCCTTGATGCTGGTGTGGACGGCGCGGCGAGCCTTGCACCCATGACTGTCCTCTTGAGCTCCATCGCTGCGCAGGGCGACAAGCACCCTGCGGAGAGCCTGTTGAAGTGCTATCACGAGGAGGTCCTGCCCTCGAAGAGGGATTTTGAGAAGGAAATTGGACAGTTCAAGTCGGTGTGGAAGGAGGTGCATGAGAAGCATGCGTTTTTGGTGTTGTGTGAGGAGGTGGCGGGGAATGCTCTCGAGTATTTGGAGTGTACCGACAAGGTTTTCGCTTCCGACTCTCGTGAAAAGCTTGTTGGTGGCTGGGAAAGGGCGAAGCAGCATGCTGCTGCTACGGACAAGTACCGCGGGGCTGTTAAAAACATTCGAGCGTTCGATCCGCCGTCAATGGAAATGTACTTCGAGCGGTTTGTAGATCTTAGTCCTTCGGAGGTTCAAAAATGCTGGGACGCACATATGAAAGTATGAGTCCTTTTCTACGGCCCACGATAATTGATCGCTCGTGTACATTTTGCTATCTGCTTTGAATAGATGGATATCGTACTTAGACAGTTATGTACCGTTGTGGCAACGTGTATGGCGAAGTATCGAGCTCGAACCCCGTCTGGTTTCCCGTGCCAATCCCGCACGGAGCAGCAGTAACGCCGTACGTCAACGGCACGTTCGTCGCTGACGGTGATGTGCCCGCTCGGCCCCGAGAGCGTGGCGTTGAAGCCTTCAGGGAAGTCCGAGACGAGGTACCGGGACTCCCGCCCGACAGGAGGATAGTAAGAGGTAAGAGCGGCGAGCGCGGGGAAGTATGAAAGAAAGAACTGACGCACTGGCGGTGTTGCTGATGTCGATAATCGGTCGGAAATATGTGCAAAATTGCCAGCGCAGAGGTCCGTGCGTTCGCTTGGCTCTGCTTACTAAATAGTGACGTCACGCGTCTCGCCTCTTATTCGGAACCACCATCTCACACGATTTGCAAGGCTCTTTCGCGTTCACTGGTTCACAATGAGCGACTTCCTACCCGATGAAATCATTTCAGAAATTCTTTCTCCTGTTCTGATCGTTCCCGAGCACATGTTCTCTGATACCTCGGGCCGGCCTCGCCAAAATCGCCCTTCGCGTCTCTTTCCACCGTGTCAAGTTCGTCCGTTCTCCTCGTTTGTAAACTCTGACTACATTTCGTGACTCTCCTACTTTATGCTGTTGTCATTATACGCTCCAAGGCCCAGGCCCACGCTTTCCAGACGACAATACGAAACACGTCGGACCTCGGCCGATTTGTCAAGAAGCTGCGCGTGGAAGGCAGGTTTGGGGCTGTTATGCACCGCATACTCCAGAACATACCCAATGTCACGGATATCTCGTCAAAATCGCTCAGATCCCGTCGGTAAAGGCCATCACAATCCGACCGGATTCAGTGCACAGGTACACGCCCCCGCTAACGTCAACGGATCCCCGGCTCGAAGAGTTGCTACGCTGGCAAGACACGTCGTACGTTAAAATCCAAATTCTTTGCCTTATATTGAAGCGAGATACCGTTGATCAGCACAAAACACCCTGACCTTGAGCGCAAAACTTCCGTCTGCACGCCTACTGTACCTGCATTGTGCGGGGTATCCATCCTCATGTTAAGATGGCCATCGACCGAGTGAGTTTATCCATTCGTCGGCGGCGAGGCCATTACTTCAATTGTTACTTCCACTTCGAGGCCCGAGATCGCGAAGAGCAGTTGGGTCAATTTTCAAATTTGCGAAGATTTTGTCGGAGCGCGGTATCAAGTTGACGGACTGGGCGGGCACGGAGTGGCGCCCTCGGCTCATATCGACCCGTGCTAAGGGGAAGAAGGACAACTGAGGCTGCCGAGGAATCTGTTAGAACGTTGTGTTATTCATACTGTAAATGAAGTCCAAGCAATATTTCCTGCGCGTTCTCACCTCGCCTTAACTCCATCTTTCATTGCGAACAGAGGGCATGTATGACAGTCACACCGAAGACGTCTATCTACTGGGCGCGTCCTGTCTCACGCGATGGATTCCGCACGATTCGCTCGCTGACGAGAAATGAAACAAGTTATGAATCGCGACTTCACGGAGATCGGTACAAGTGCAGCCCTCGTGGAAGCACCTCTTCATTTAGATATTCATTTGTTGCAACGTCCTCGACTACCCACTTGAAATTTAATGCAATGTCCTCAATGCCCCCCTCGCATGCAACTCGGGCAGCCCTGCCCTCACCGTATTGCAGAAATGCTCAAACGTGCCCGGCATTTCGAGACTGTACTTCTGATAGCCCTTGAACGTGAGCACGCGGAAGCGCGGCGCACAGAGAAGTGCGGATTCGAGCGCATGCCAAGTGGGGGCGGGCACGGCAAGGAGATCGCGCCGGATCATGCTGTGGATCATGCTGTGATCGATCGAGATCTCCTCCAGGGCGTACGAGTCGGGTGGGAGAAAAGCAACGAGCCATTCGAGGGAGGCAACAATGACCGCGTCTGGGCCGTCCTTGAGGTGGAGCGCGCGGAGCAGGGGGAAGGACGCGAGGGTGATGGGCTGCGGGGTGTCGGAGAGCGACATCGCTGCGGAAAGGCATAAGAATACAAGAATACAAGATGAAGCAGATATTGAAATACTTACGGGGATCCAAATGCAGGGTAAGTTCCTGCAGTGAGGGCGCCGCTGCGAGGACGATGGGCGGTCGCCGATCGGGCGCTTCGTAGTCGCTCTGCAGGTACAGTACGTCGATCGCTAGTGTGTGCAGCGCGCCGAGGAAGCCGTTTGGGACGAGCCAGGCACCGAGTGGCGCGAGGATCTTGCAATCGCCCGAGATGCGCAGCGTGCGCAGGCGCGGAGTGTTCTCTGGTGCGGTTGTGGGCATGCTCAATGCGACATCCGCCGCACGCCAGCCAGTTGACTCTGCATGGATCGCGAGCTCTGTGAGGCTGGGGCACCCGTTTAGGAGCGCGGCCCACTCGGGAAGAGTCCAGAGGCGGTCGATGAGGATGTGCACGGTGGTGATCTGGCGCATCGCGCCGGCGAGGAGAAGCTTTTGCACGGGGGAGAGCTGCCGGAAGCCGAAAGGGTCGCAGTGGACGGAGATATGGGTAACGTTGGGCAACTGAGCCATGCTCTCCGGTGAGAGGAGGGCGGACGCGGGAAGAGACGCCATCATGGGCATCTCGAGTCGCCGTACGTATATCGCAACCCCGGGGGACGATGCAACGAGATCACGAAATGCATAGACGTTCCGACCAGTGAGACGTATAGACGAAAAGAGGTGAAGACGGCTCCAAGGGAGAAAGTCCCGCGAGATAAGAGCGCAAGTGCGCAGGTTTGGTATGTCTCCGTGGAGCACTGACACGATCTGCTCTATCAATTCCTGCGGCAGATGGAACTCTGAAGCCATGAATCGAGAAGGAGAAGGGATTCTGGCCCAAGGAGCGCACCGCAATGTGGTCGTCAGGATCAAAGAGAAGAATGACTCGGATGTGGCGGTGCAACTGATAAGATAAGACCATCAAGCGAACATCATGTCAAAAAGAAATTGCGAGCGCAACACGCATGCAGAGGAATATTCCAGAAACGAACCCATGTATTCTCCTCCGAAGGATACAGCTCGAAGTGCACTTGAACCGCACACAGCCGCCGGGCATATAATCCAGTTCAACACAGATACTTAGCAAATATGTACAGGGTGAAATGGGAGGCCGTGGAATCCATTTCTTCAATACTTACGATTTCGATTCCAAGTGAGCCCGAGTGATGTTCCGAACGGCGGTGTTGCGTCGGACCTTCAGTACAAGGCAAAATAAGACGACAGGAATGATCTCGCAAGTACTTGGATGGCAAAGTTCAGGTAATAGGGCATTTGATAATGATTAGTAGGACACTCAGTGTAGAGGTGAGGGTGCGAGTGTGGAGCAGGCTCCTTGCCCTTGTTTTGTCCGTATTGTAAAAATGTCGGGCACCAGATGTCGACGACGAGATGGCGGAGACGACAAGGGCTAGCTGGGCTTCAAGAAACGGTCGAGTGGCAAGGATCCAGCTCCAAGGAGGCCTGTGCATGAAAATACAATCATTAGAAGGATATAGGGGAGACCGTGATTCAAGGAGAAGAGATAACCGTTTCGTTCGACTACACTTTGATTTTTCACCAGCAAAGGTAATGTCTCCTTTTCCATAGGGGACAATTTGGCAAATTCGTAGCGGCCGTCTAGCTCAGTTGGTTAGAGCGTCGTGCTAATATAAGCCGTGTTCGCATAGTTGTATTACGCGAAGGTCTTGGGTTCGACCCCCACGATGGCCATGTCATTTTTAGCCCTAGTTCCAGGCCAGCAACAACCTAAAATGTGCTTTCATAGTTCCCTCTCCCGCTGCACTCGTATTTATTATTCCGCAATCACGATTACTTTATCCGGATGAGATTGATCGAATCGGCGTTGAGTAGAATGCATGATCGGTAGGCCAGAGGTCTTCTCTCCATGTTTTTAAATTCAAGTAACTATCAATCAATGAATTAATGATAATATCCTTGAGGTATTTTTCATAGCGCCACCCAATCCATCATCACCATGTGTGCCTCACCTGGTGGAAATGAATAATAAGAGACTCGGATAGTGTTCAAGTTCGACGATCCATTCTTTTCTAAGGGGCGACCTCGAACTTGAAAGTGCGGAACGAGTGCCTCAGTGATTCATTATGTAATTAGTCTCCCTCACGAAACCGTCCATCCAAAATGATATGAAGTGGCCGCGAGCGGCAGGCACAAACAGGCGATTTGAACTTGGAAACAGAGAAGAAAAGTTACATATTTGTGGCGTAGTAGCGTTAAATCGAAAATGACACTGAGATATCCGTAGAGTTATTTACGGTGAGGAGACCCCACATCACTACCGTTGTAGTGCATTACAGGTTATAGCATAGTAGGAGGCATTACCCCCGGGTGCAGTAATGTTGGAAGGACCGGCAAGCAACATTTGTGAAGTGAAGATGTTGAGGTGCTCAGGCGACACGGGGGGAACTCACAGGTTTAGATTTGCCGATACAACTTGGAGTTGTTAGAGCCACGGAGCGAAACATTACAACCTGTTCAATTAGACCTCCATGACTGATCAGGATAGAAAAAACATAACTTGTCGACGCAAGTAATCACCAGCACCTGCCAATTGTCGACAGAAATGGTCGCTTTAGACACAGAAATAACTCCAATTGTGATCAGAATCGTGGCGGGATCGGCTGGATTCTGGGGTTGGTGGGACCGGAAAGTGTTTCATCCAAAATCCCTGAAGACAAAGGAAGAAGGAAGTAGATGCTAGCAGTTGATTCATTTGAATGTTGCAGAGAGAGGAGAGATGTTGGCATAAATCATATTAAGATCGCTTGACAAAAGAAATTTGAGATAATGAATCCCCAGAGAATTAAAAGCTCCTGAGAGGTAATGCGAGGATGATTTGACTCATTTTTGGGATGTCTTCGCAGAAGCAGAGGCAGCAACTTTTCTTGGAAGGACAGTGATTGTGGCTTTTTGAAGGATGTTGACAGAGTAACAGAGTTGCCCAACAGGATTGTTATATTGAAGGAGCTGAGAGGGGAATTTTCTTGAATAGGAAAATGCGAAAGAAAAAACAGTTGTACAAGTTTCACACGGGGTTTGCCGACAGCACACGGCGACTCAGTTAAAGACCAGGGCCAATCAGATTGCAGATTATATAAGCCGATCGCGGACATTCGCGATGGTCAATAGCACAAACAGTGCCTGTTTGTGAATATTACATTCCTTTGAACCAATCTTAAATGCAAAACACCCAGAACACAACTTGGATGCCTGAAAGTGGAATGGGAGCAATATGCATAATTCGAAGGCCGTGGGTGCAGAAGCGAAATTATTAGCGTATGTTTCTGCCATCCATTTTTAATTTCCCGAGAACAAGCCTGTGGGAGATCAATCAAAGCTGTGCCAATGAACATTCGTGGGAGATCAACGAAAGCTGTACATAACCACGAGACACTCGTTCGTTCTCACCCTCCCTGGACTCCATTGCATCCTTTTTGTTCGTCCCTAAAAGAATACGATGGCCCGCCGCCAACAACTACGCGAATACAATCTACTCGTCATTGGGGAAAGTAGTGCGTTCACCGGTGTTCTGGCGCCGCGCTCCCGGGTTGAAGAACTCTGGCGTCTTTTTGCCCTGCTCAGATGTTGGCAAGTCTACGCTCACAATTCACTTCACCCAAGGATATTTTATCAACGAATACGATCCCGTCATCGAAGGTTCATGCCTTTCTTCAATTCGCAGCAGCTCGCTCACCCTTGGAGTCGACCGCAGACAGCTTCCGCCGGACGTGTGTGCTCAACGACGAGTGCATATCACTCAAAATACAGGACACTGCGTGGCAAGAGGATGGTTGAGCGACATATTCTCCACATACCCATAGTATATTTGGTTTTGACTCTTTGAAACCACTAGGGGGATGCCCCCGTTGAACGAGGGATACTACACCCTAGCTCACGGCTTCCTCCTCGTGTATTCGATCACCTCGCACGAGTTCTTCAAGGTTCTCGACTTCTACTGGGAGCGCATTCAGCGATTTAAACCCGGCGCGCCCCTGCTCTTGATTGGTAACAAGTCTGATTTGGCCCCGGCCGCGCGTGAGGTTGGCGAGGATGGTTCGTGTGGACAATTTATACGAAACTGTATGGATTTTGACTTACATCGCAGAAGGTCGGGCGCGGGCGGCGCAGTTTGGGTGCAGTTTCAGGGGGACGTCGGCGAAGGAGCGCGATCAAGTCGAAGAGGCGTTCATGTGCCTCGTGCGTGAGATTCGGGAGCGGGATAAGGTCTGTTGTTTGTCTTTACCGTGGTATCAAAATTTCTAGCCATCATTTTCGTGGTTGGGAGATCAATTTGGCAGGCACGGGGTGATCTTTCGGTCCATTCTGAAAGCTACAAGACAGCTATACCTCTGAATTTTTATATGAGCATTCTCGTGATGTTAAGGCATCTTTTGGATGCGCTCATTAGGTGATATGACTCTAAGGTGATGGTGCAAGTCTTAAAATACGCAAAATGAGCGAAAATCACAAGAGTCGTCGACTCTTCACAGTGATATATATCCCAAGGATATGACATCACAAGGGTCTTTTGCTCTATATCTCCAGGGCACCTCCTAACGTTCATTTTAAGCCAAGAAACTAAGGAAATGGTCCAGTATTGGAGGAGAAATGTTTGTTTGTCCGAGACGGTGGGGAGATAGTACGGGTCCCCAATCTGTTTTCGTTTACCTTTTAGTCGTGGTTTCCAGATCTCAGCACCAACCTCAATGTCCTTCGTTCCCTCTATTTCTGCACTTGTATTCCGGAATCCGGATGAGATTGATTCCCTCAGCGTTGAGTAGAATGCATGATCGGTAGACTAAAGCTAGAGGTCTGCTTTTAACTTCAAGTCACTATCAGTCAGTGAGTCAATGACAGTATCCTTGAGGAATTTTTACTAATATTAGCGCCACCTAATCCTTCATTCATGTGCGCCTCACCTGGTGGAATATTAGTAGACTCGGATAGGGTTCAATTTCTATAGTCCATTATTTTTCAAGGGGGCAACCTCGCACTTCACTGAAGTTCATGATAAGTGGTCTCTCTCACTAAACCGTCCATCCAAAATGTTATAAGGTAGGCGCCATACACATCCATCAAATCACGTGAGTTGCAGCGTGACCCTGCCTTCCTGCTCATACTAAGCAGGAGCATCAGGTGGGTAACACAAAGTAGAACCATAGAAATACTCAGTTTGAGCAGGGGAATAATCCTATGGTCTCAGATTTCCAATATCTAGCTTGGAAATTTTTCTTTTCACCCATTTTTGAAAAACAGCTCCAAACACAAAAGCAACGAGGAATGCATTCACACCCAAGAAAGAAAATTCTCAACCTAGGTCGAAAGTTAAGCTGAATTTATAACAATCAGTACACAAACCAATTTTTTTTGAAAGCACAAAAATATGTTGTACCTAAATTGGAACGGAAAGAACTGCAATCAGCGGCTCTTTCAAAACTTGAAGCTTGAGTCATTGTCAGTAAGATATGAAAGCCTCACTGCAAGGAGTTCTTTCAGTTGTGCTTCCTAACCATACTGAAAGAAGAACTTTCAGTCTAACAATCCAAAATTTCCTTTGTTCTAACAAAGAGATTTTTTATTGTTACCCTGAAAGTCCTTCTTTCAGGAATGCCTGAAAGCACCACTAAATGGCTTCTTTCAGTGCGGCTTTCATAACTCACTGAAAATGAACAAATCTCTGCCTTTTGAAAGAGCTGCTGATTGCAGCTCTTTCCATTTCAGCTTCCGCACCAAATGAAAGAACAAATTTCTACTAGTTCAGATTTGCACACTTATTGGCACACTTTCAGTTTACATCTCGATCTAGGTTGAGATATATCTTTATACAGTGTGATTTTGAGATCGAAAAAATTGCGCTTCCCAAAAAGGAAATTTGATCCGATATCACGATCACGTGCTTGCCTTCCGTGACCGTCTTTTCCCATTTTTTCACTGTGTCACTCAGTTTATCATCACATTTTATATGAGACGAAGACTCTAGAACAATGCCCAAGACCAGAAAGCAGGCCAGAACAAAAAATTGGCCATTTGGCTGTCAAAGCATGCCATAGAGTGTCAGCTTTAAATGCCACCACACAACATCGATGCAATGCTGTCTCAAGAAAATCCTCTACATGGAGCCAGACTTTCAGGCTCAAAAATCCATGCTTGAAGAACATTGTGAGAAGTGTGGCTATGAAGTCATCTTTTTCCCTAAATACCACCTGGAGCTCAATTTTATTGAGCAATGTTGGGGTATGCAAAGTGGATCTACCACATGTGCCCAGCATCTTCAAAGGAGGAAGACTTGGAGTGAAATATGCTTGAAGCCCTTGATTCACTTCCACTGGCATCTATGCACCGTTTTGCGATCCGATCGTCAAGATTTGCTGATCATATTTTCATGGGCTGGATGGGGGAGATGCAGCATGCATGGGCCAACAAGAAGTATCGGGGCCACAGGACTCTCCCTCCTGAATATCGAGGATTTGAGGCGTCGACAGGCTTTGCCTTAGCTACAATTTTTTTCCCACATGTCTATCCGAAAAAACAGCAAAAAATGATATTTTATTTTGTGTCGGCAAAATTTCGCACTTTCCCACATTACTGTCACCCATCAGTCACGTTTCACATGACTCGATGGATGCGTATGGCGCCTACCTTATTCCTTTGAACAAATCTTACAGCAGTTGGCAGTACCGAAGGCGTGACCA